CAATTCAGCAGGTGGCAGAAAGCCACCTACGGCGAAAGTTCTTTATTTCCGATGGAGGAGGACAGGCTTTATTCTTACACGTGTTACTTGCGATCTGAAGGTGCACCGGCTTCGCGAGGGGAACGCTTTGTGCAAAGTGTTCGCTTCGCTCATACCCTTCTACAATGCCCAGGTGATTTGAGCTTCTTGTCGGCCCGAGTTATCGGGGCCACGGTTGCAGGTGTGGCTAAGAGGCCGGTCATGAAGAAGTGGCCGCTCAAGGTGCATCAGCTCCGCAAGTTAGAGAGGCTTGCCTGTGGCGAGGCGAGTGTGGTTTCTGTCTTTGCGGGATTCCTGTGTATCTTGGTCCATGGACGACTACGGTACAGCGACGCTCAGATGTGCTTCGCCGAACCCATCCTAGAAACCGGCGAGGCGCATAATTTACTGACTCTTCAGCTGTATGGTTCCAAGACTTCTTCCCTTCGCAGGGCTACTAGGTTTCGGCTCATTCCGGTTTTCGCAATCAGCCCGGGTGTTCATGGTGCTGAGTGCTGGGCGCGTGCTTATTTGCGAAACCGAGCGGAGCTGGGGCTAGAAGCATCTGAGAGTGAACCGCTCATGAAGTGTCCGTGCGCGGATGGGAGTTTTACAGATCGCAAGTTGCGTTCTTCCGATGCCTCTGTCTGGATGAGGGAACTCTTGGGAAACGATTGCAACGAGGAAGAGTTGGCCAACCTTGCCACCCACAGTTGCAAGGCCACATGCTTAGCATGGCTGACCAAGACGGCAGCTTCTAACAACATGTGCCGCCGGGCCGGGTATCATGTGGGTCAGGAGGGACGATCCGAGCTCGAGTATGCCCATGACGCTGCAGCACCCCTGGTACGCAGGTTGGCGGACACCCTTGAGTTGATTCGTGAGGGGATCTTCTGCCCTGACGAGCCGCGGCTCCAGCGGTGGCACGGAACTTCGGACTTTGAATCGGCTGTTCTGTTGCTGCGGCGCGGCGAGGAGGCGAAGCGCCCTCGCAAGAATGTTCCCGCCCAGGTTAGCCGTTTGCTGGAGGG